CAGGAGCTGATTGTGGAACAGACCACCAACTACTCATATGCAAGTTCAAGCTGAAGCTGAGGAAATTTAAACCGAATCCACAGGAGCCCAAATATGACTTTAATTTCATACCACCTGAATTTCAGAATCCTCTCAGGAATAGATTTGAGGAGGACATTTTGCTGAGTGAAATATCTCAGTCACAAAAGGACAAATACTGCATGGTGCTACTGTTGTAAAACAGGACTGACCTCGGGGTTGGGGGCAGACTGAGAAAGATAGGTTCATTAATGTGTACTGCATTGAAACAGATGAGGGAGAAAATTCTTTAAAAGGGATATGTGATTAGGTATTTTTGTCATGATGGTAGTCCAGAGCGAAGGCTGCATAGTAAAGTGGACCTGGAGGAGGGATTGTAAAACAATGAAAGAATTTGTCTTTTACTTTTCCAAGAGGGTAGTGTACTAGGGGGGAGGGTTGGGAGGGGAGAAAAGTGCAGCAATGAATGAATGGAAATACAAAGTCTCTGTAAATTTTCATTGAAATTAAAAATAATTTAAAAAAGGGAGCAGATTGCCCATCCTTCTGCTAAGTTCTTTATAAACCCATTGCCCATTGACATCAAGAAGACTTGCTCTATAGGGTGTTAATGTTGTAATCTTCATGGAAGCAGCTTGCTGTATCTTTTCCTCATGGAATAGCTGGTAGGTTAATAGCCCCTTTGTGTTGGCAAAGCAATCACAGTGCCTCCAGGGCATATTTGTTGACATATGACTTAGTAATTTTTTTTCTATCTTCATTGTAGTTTTCAACTAGAATGTCAATGCTATTAGCAGAGAATCTTTCTGTATTTACTGCTTAGTTAACAGGTCTAAGGATAATATGGGACATAGGGCAGAGAGTAAGCAAATCCATATTATGGTAACCATTGTCAACCAACCTCACTGCTGCTATGTAACTCATAATATTTTTTAGATTCTTTTTCGTTACTTTTTGTCTTGTTAATGAGATACACTTGTGATTTTTTCCCCCTTGTGTTTCAGGGAAGTTGGGAAAAAAGAATTTTGAAGAGTTTAAATAGTATGTGCACTGAACTCAGTATTCCACTGGCACGGAAGGTACTTTTAAGAGTTTCTGTTTTAAGCACTGTATTATAAGACAAGTACTGGAAAGTATCATGAAGTTAATTGTAAACTAGACACATTTACCCTTTTTGTGAATTTTGTTATCAGTTTTTTTGAAAACAAAAATTTATGAGACTGCCACTATAATGGAGATGTATTCTGCATGGATTTGTTTTGGGAATACTCTAATGATTTTTGGACCAAGTTTGTGATTTTGAGGATAGGCAGAAATAAGAACCTAGTGTTTTATTCAGGCATTTTACTGAAAAGATTATGTTGTTGTTAAGTGCCGTTGAATTGATTACAACACATAGCAGACAATGAAAACCCGTAGGTGGGTCAGCTATGGGTCGGTTCCGTAGTACACAATAATAACAACAACTGGGCTTTGAGAGGAGATAGCTGGGAAAATGAAAGAGGCTGCTTGAGGAATGTTCTAGATTCTTTATAGGTGATCATTAAGTAGGAGAGACAAATTTCTCACTTCATTTACCCCACCTGCAATTTATTCCTTACTGTAGGACAAAATATAGTGAATGTACCTTGGACAGTATCCAAGGATGGTTGTCAGAGGTACAAGAAAAATGATAATAAAAACAAGATCAATTTATATTAAACACCATATAATGTGTATTGTTGTGTGCTGTCGAGTTCAAACCGACTCACAGCTGACCAACCATCCAGTGGGTTTTCAGAGACAGGTTATCATGCGAGAGGAGATTGCTTATCCTTCTACTGTGGAGCAGCTGGTAGATTCAAACCACATGTCTTTGGGATAGCAGGGCAGCTTCTTACCACTAGGCCACCAGAGCAAAATTGTGGATATACTGTCTTACATATAGGAAGCTGATGCTCCTGACTCACAGTCACACGCTCTTGGCCAGCCGTCCCTATTGTGATACATTTCTGAAGTTGCTGGATGGGGAAAGAGCTGTGGTGTGTGGCTGAGGAGGACTTGTTCTATCATATCTTGTCTTTTATTGGACTCAACAGCCCCATGTTCTAACTGAAACACTGAGAATAAGATATAATGTAAGAGTTGTATAATAATAATTTAAGTATAATTGTAGAAAAATATTCAAAGTAGATGAAATTCTTTTTTTCTCATGTTGTGGTAACATGTTTAAGTTTTAGTTATTTATTCCTTTCAGCTGCATTTCTAGATTTCCTAAAGTGAAACCCATTTCAAAATTGCTCTTTTAGAGGCCAGTTGGAGAACAGAAAGAACTTCTCAATAAATGGAATGAAATGGGAACTGATGAACCAGGTATATGAAGAATAATTTTCAAAATGTAGGAGTGGGAGAAGAATTAGTTTCTCAATTATGGATCCAAAATAGCATAATTAACAATTCTTTTGGAAGGATAGTAACTTTCTCCTTAGTAATTCACTGTCCTCTGTTTTTTTTTTCCTTAAGCTTCTACTATATGGTTTTTTTTTTTTAAAAAAATATCAATTTAATTTATATGCTTTTTAATTTTGAGACTGTTTTAATAATTTGTCCTTTTAAAGTCTGTATTTGAAAACATTTTGATTAAAGAAAATTAAGTTTATATATTTGATTTCCACACTTACGATTAAGATAATTATTTCAGACTTTAATTACATGAAGATGTTAAAGATAGGTTATGTAGTGAAATGTAAGTTTCAGGAGTTCTCAAATATTTTTAAGACTGGTTCATTTTAATGTTTAAAATATAGTGAAATTTATAAGCATAATAAGTGCTGAGTATATTTTACTCACTGTATGTGATAAGTGTCTACAATTATACGAATAGACATTTACATAACCTCACCACCAGCCTTCTTGTGCTACAAAAAGAAAAAACAAAACAAAAAAAGCAAAACAAGACAAGAGTCCCAAAAGACATTATCATTGGCTGAGTAAAAAAATATATGCACAATAGAGGAAGCAGTATTCAACCTAGTAGTTCAATACAATTAGAAAAATTCATTAAGAATGCATTGTTTATATTCTGAGTACCCTGCAAATTGTCATATAGAACCTTTATATTAACTTAGACATAGTTTTGTTAATTCACTTATAACCTATTCCAGATTTACCAAAGTAAGGCTCTTTCTTCTACAGTTGTGTCATCTAGCATGTCAAGGGGCTTTCCCTCACTTTTTTCTGATAGATAATTGAAATTCCACAGATGTTTTAATTAATTTATCAGCACAGAATCAATATATATCATTCATTAACCTTCGTATATCAACTGAAGTTTTGTTTTCATATATCTTATTAATTTTAGATTTAAGCCTTTTCAGACCTGTTTATGCACCTAAGGATTTTCTTGAGGTAGGTGCTACTGAATAAATATATGTATGCATATTAATAAAGCAACAGTAAGAAAGAGATGATGCTATCAGAATATCTCTAAGAAGAGATGTCACTATATAGATAGCTCAAAGTAATTGAAGATTTTGAGCTGTGGAAGAATATGGTCAAATTTGTGTTTGGAAATTGCTTTTGGAAATAGGTAAATTTAGACATTTTGGAGGCAAGTAAATCAAATAAGAGGATTTGGATTGAAAAATAGTGATTTTAAATCATGTAGCCTGCTACCTGGCACATACAGGTGCTCTGTGCAGATTATTCTTTATCATTTCTTTCCCTGCTCTAGGAGTGCAGGCAAGAAATGATGAGGATCTGAGCGAAGAGAGCAGCTTTGGAACAGGAAAGAATTGAAAATATTTCAAAGAGAGTTTTGGCAGTTGAGTAAATATGGGAACTATCAGAGAAAGAAAACATATGACCTTTGAATGTCTAATCTAAGCTACTGTTCTAGAGTCCACTTGGTAACTTGCCCTGTTGTTGTTGTTATGAGTCTGATACAGGCCATGGTCTCTTCTGGCCACATGCCCAAAGTGTGTGAGACAGAGCTTCAAAATCCTAGCCTCCAAGGAGAAACTTGGTTTTACCCTTTCCAAGACAGACCTATTTGTTTTCTTGACGGTCTCTTAATATGTTCAAAACTCTTCTCCAGCAACACAATTCAAAGGCATCATTTCTTCTTCTGTCATTCTTAGTCATTGCCCAGCTCTCTGATGTAAAGCAAGTAATTCCATGGCCTGGAATAACTGTAACATCGGAGTTGTTCTGCTCATGCTTGCCTCCAGTAGTTTTTCTGGGTCAGGGACCTGAAAAGATTCACAGGATTTTTTAGGTAGAGCAGCACAGAATCACTTTAAGTTAGGATCTATTCAATGACAAAGAAAATCTACATAATGCTTGCTTTCAGCAGGAAAAATCTTGTACCCTGGGATATGTACACATAGAAGGATCTGAACTTTTAAGTTTAGCCTCCAGAAGCCATTCTGAGTTACATAGGAAGCACTTTAGCTTCAGATTATGAATAACAGAGAGATTTTTTTAAAAACTTGGTTTTAGGAGACATGGTACAGGTTTTTTAAGTTTTCATGACTCATTGGTAAAATTAGGTGAAAACTCACTGTCAAAGGTTTCTTTGTTAAATGGCTCATATCAGCTAGTGCATTGCAGCCCTATTTTGGCTTCTAGGTCTCCCTGGAGATAAACATGGAGCTATCAGAAGCCAACTACACATTAACCCTATCCTTAACTGTTTCAACAGGTGGGACTGTGCTGGGTACTATTTGTGCAATAAATACTTGTTGAATGAATGAGTAAATCTTTCACATTTTACCTTTCTTTCTTTTTAAATCTGTTTCCCTTAATGTCAGTTTTGCAGGCATAAACTTAGCTGAAAGTTTTTCAGTCATTTTGAATTTATAGTTAGTCTCCTTGTAACATTAATGAGAATTTAATCTGGTCAGAAACTATCTTTATGATAAGACTTTGTTCCTCTTATTTATTGAAGATTTCTCTCCCGGAATGCTCTCTAGTATTTTAAGGATGGAAATTGTTTATGATTCCCATATGGTAATTTTTCCAGTGTTTACTCTTCAATACTTTGTGATCTGTTTCTTTGAGGACTATTGCATAATGAGTCCTTTTATTATTCACACTGAAATTCTTCTTTAAATTAAGAACATTTTCTCTACTTATTTCCTTTGTTTTGTTGTTGTTGTTATGCGCCATCAAGTCAGAACTAACTCATAGCCGACTGGACTCCAGTGCCTTTTTTAAAGCGGATTATCTTTTTCCCTCACAGCAACTCGTAGATTTGAACATCTGCCTTTAGGTTAGCAGCACAGCACCTTACCCACTGGGCCAATGGAGTTTCTATATTACTTTAAACCTTTTAAAATTTTTTTTTATTTATTTTTGTGTGAGTGTACCGTCAAATCAGATCTGTCCTTCCCCGGCAGAGCATCTGGTGGATTCGAACCGTGTGCCTCTGGGATTGTAGTTGCAGCTCCTTGCCACTAGGCCACCAGAGCTCCTCTAGTTTCTACATTACTAATCTTTATTTCACGTTATGTATATACTTATGGTTTCTCCTCATGTGTTTTTAATCTCTCATATTTATGATAGGAAGAAGGATTGGCCACCCACTTCTGAAATAGCAGGCCTCTGAAAACCCTATGCACAACAGAACACACGCAGATTAACAAAAAGGGCAACCTAGGTAGAACCATCAAGTATGGAAACACAAGGGAGGAGGAACAGCTGTAAGCAGACCCTAGTGATTGGTACATGGAATGTGAGAACCATGAATGAAGGAAAATTAG